CTGTCTAACTGATATCTATAGAGAAGGAAATCTTGAAGATTCAGAATAACAGAGTTGGAAGGGGCCTTGGAGGTCTTCTAGTCCAACCCCCTGCTCAAGCAGGAGACCCTATACCATATCAGACAAATGGTTGCCCAGTCTCTTCTTAAAAACTTCCAGTGTTGGAGCACACATAACTTCTGATTAATTGTTCTAACTGTCCGGAAATTTCTCCTTAGTTCCAGGTTGCTTCTCTCCTTGATTCGTTTCCATCCATTGTCTTTGTGGCAGCTCTTCTAATATTGAAACACTGCTATCATGTCACCCCTTCCCTTTCTTTTCATTAGATTAAATCATGGGTCAGCAACCTGCGGCTCCGGAGCCACATGTGGCTCTTTGAGCCTTCTCCTGTGGCTCCCAGCCTCCTCCGCCATTTGCAGAGAGACAGAGACAGAGAGAGGCACCTGCACTTCTCTCTCTCTCTCTCTCTCTCTCTCTCTCTCTCTCTCTCTCTCTCTCTCTCTGTGTGTGTGTGTGTGTGTGTGTGTGTGTGTGTAAAAAGAAAGTGGCCTCACTCTGTTCTCGGACAAGCTGACAAGCTTATTGGGCAGGGTTTCTGCCTTTGCTGCATCTCAGCAGGAAGCAGGATGCACTGAGTGGGGGAAGAGGACTGGCAGACCAAGGGCAGGAAAGAGCCAGCCCAATAAGAATATGTGTCAGCTTGTCGGAGAACAGCGTGAAGCCAGTTTGCCAGGTGAACAGAAGATCGGAGAGAGGGAGAGGGGGGGAGGGGGGGAGAGAGAGAGGGAGGGAGGGAGACACACACACACACACACAGAGAGAGAACTCATGCACAGCAGCCTCTATTTCTTTTTAATTAAACTTTTCAATCAAGCTCTCCCCCCCTTGCGTGCGTGCATGCATGCAACTTTTGCGGCTTCCAGTGTTTTCTTTTCTCTGGGAAATAGGGCCAAGTGTCTCTTTGAGTGTTTAATGTTGCCGACCCGTGGACTAAACATATCCAATTCCAGCAACCGTACTTTATACAGTATGTTTTAGCCTCCTGTCCGCTGATCATCTCTGTTGCTCTTTTCTGCACTTTCTCAACATCTTTTTTATAACGTGGTGATCAAAACTGGATGCAGTATTCCAAGTGTGGTCTTACTAAGGCTTTGTAAAGCAGTTCACATGATCTTGATTCTGTCCCTGTTCTCTATTCTATCTCTATCCCTATCTCTATTCAATAGAGTCTTCCCCAATCATAGAGAAATTGGGATTGCAACTTTACTGTATCTGGAGATAATGGCAGTAAACCAAAACCCTCCTTTTCTTTCTTTTTAGAATGTGATCCCATTGTTGCCGCAAATATTTTTGACTCTTTTTTGCAGAGATTTATATGCAAGCTTTCAGTGAATGTCAGAACTTAATTTTCCTATTATTAAAATGGGAAATGTCCCCTTCTTAGGAAACTCAAAGTCCCATATGGGATCTGAGAGATATATCAGGATGACAAAGAGATCCAGAAAATTCTAACTTTGTTCTATGATCTACTGGCCAGCTGAAGTTTTGCAATCCAGCTACGATAGCTCTGTGCAAAATTAACCCTTTTAATATCTTTATTTTTGAATATAAATCAGTGAAACTAGAAACAAATGTTAACCTTGGAGAGTGCTCTCTGCAGAGCTCCATCCACACTGAGAATCAACACCATCTTCCAAGTTACAGGTAGTCATTAACTCAGTGGTGGCGAACCTATGGCACGGGTGCCAGAGGTGGCACTCAGAGCCCTCTCTGTGGGCACGCGTGCTGTCACCCCAGTCCTAGACCTTCAGCTGGGTTTTATAAAACCGTTTCGCTTTAGGCCTCCATAGCCATGTGAAAAAAAAAAAAAAAGTTCAATCAGTCAATTTCAACTTCTCGCGGAAAAAAAAAGATCTTGCAAAGTTGGAATTGATTGATTGAACTTTTTAGTCCTACCCAGTCTGCCATTACCACCGCAGCCTTGCCCACCCGATAGGCTACACCCACCCAATTGGCTACACCCACCCGGCACTCGACGATGCATAAGTGGGTTTTGGGTTGCAGTTTGGGCACTCAGTCTCTAAAACAGTGGTTCTCAACCTTTCTAATGCCGCGACCCCATAATACAGTTCCCCATGTTGTGGTGACCCACAACCACTTATATATCACCATGTGCCAGGGGTGTGGCCAAAGAAAAGGGGGAAAAATGGGGTCCCGACCCACAGGTTGAGAACCACTGCTCTAAAAAGTTCGCCATCACTGCCTTAACTTATGATCATTCCTTTAGCGACTGTTTGAAGTTACAGTGGCACTGAAAAAAGGTGACTTACAATTAGTCCCCTCACTTTTAACCATCGCAGCATCCCCATGGTGATAGGGTCAAAATTTAGATGCTTGGCAACCATTGTGCATTTACGATGGTTGCAGTGTCCCGAGGTCATGTGATCTCCATTTACAATCTTCCCAGCCAGCTTCTGTCAAGCAGAGTCAGTAGGGTAAGCTGGATTAACTGCATGATTCACTTAACAACTGCAGTGATTCGTTTAACAACCATGGCAAAAAAAAATCATAAAATTGGGCATGACTCAATTAACAACTGACTTGCTTGGCAACAGAAAGTCTGGTCTTAATTGTGTTTGTTAAGTCGAGGATTTCCTGCATTCTCTTTGCCTTCAGTCCATTTATCTTCTATGTTTCCGTTTTCTTCGTTTCAGCAGCCCCATCTGCATTTCTTTGCCATCAAGTATAATCAGATTTCATTTGCCTATCAAGCAAGAACTTCTGGCACTGTTTTATACTTTCGCAGAATATGTCATTGAAAAAAAGGTCTGCATTTTTTTCCTGTGCATCTAATGAAAAAGTGCTGTTGTTTTAAGAGCCACGTTGTACATAGCAGCATTTTTTTTCCGCTAGGTTCATGCAGAAGTCAAGAAAAGAATGGCAGAGAGGTTTGAAGGGCTTCTTCCTAACACCTTTTAGGTGCACACAGCCCTAATATATATTCTGTCACCATTCAATTTCTTTTGGAGGAAAGGAAATAGATTCAAGCAGAGACCCAAGAGCACATGCAGAGGGATTTTTAGCTATATATTTTTGTGGGTCTGACAAAATGCTGCTGACCTACTTAATTAAATGTGGTCTTGAATGCTGACAACTAAGATTTATAAAAATCACTTAGACCTTTATTGAAAAATCAATTATTTCTAACATGCCAGCAAAACAAAAATATATAAATAAATAAATACGCCAAAGAGCAATGCTGGGTAAACTGACCATAATCAATATGGTTAAAAATACAGCCCACAACATTTTTAACATTCCAACATTCTCATCTTTGATTCCCATGGTGAGATTCGGTCCTCTATTCCTAAAGTTACAGAGCTAAATCATTTAATATTTTATTACTTAAAACTTTTCAACCAGCAAGTGGCACAACCAGTTCTGTCAAGCTAACTCAGTTTAGGTTTTGAACAAATGCAAAATAAAATAATCATAATCAAAAGTTTAGTAATTAACTTCAGTAATTAAAATACATTCAACAATGATGGTGTTGTGAGCCTGGCAATTACAGTCATTAGTTGTGATAGTCATAAAGTGAGTCACCATTTCACTGGACCCATTTTTATTACCTTTTTTCTGTCAGTTGTTAAGCAAAGAGGGCAGTCACTGAGCGAATACTGCAGTTGTTAAGCAAACCCTTGTTCTCTGGGTTTTGTTGGAAATCCGAAATAAACACTGGTTTCTAACAAAACCATCATAAGTCACGGTCACATGGTCACATGTAGGAGAAGAGCAGGCTGAGCTGGAGGGCAGAGTTAAATGTGTCATCAGTTTAGAGTCATTGCGTTGCCAGATGAGATCCAAGTCCAATCCTCTTGGTTTCCATTGACTGTTATTTAGCGCCAATTTAGCCTTGACCATTATTTAAGTAGATTCTTGTGTATAAGTGGCAATAATAAACTCTTCTGTGCTTTGAACTCAACAAATATTCCTGATTATTTGCACCTGATACCACAGGGCACCTCAAACGGCCATCAAAGCTGGCCAATTGCCAATTGCCCAAAATGCAGTCATGTGATTGTAAGATTGGAACTTTGAAACCAGCTAATAAGTCCCTTTTGAGGGATCCGTCATAATTTTGAACTTGGTGCATACATAAAAAAAAGGTATGAGTCTTCTTTCTTTAAGCAAGACATTGCAGATTACAGGTGGTCCTTGACATACAACCATAATTGAGCCCAAATTTTCTGTTGTTAAGTGAGATGTTAAGTGAATTTTGTCCCATTTTATGACCTTTCTTTCCATAGTTGTTAAGTAAAGCACTGTAGTTATTAAGTTAGTAACATGGTTGTTAAGAGAATCTCACTTCCCCATTAACTTGGCTTGTCAGAAGGTGGCAAAAGGGGATCACATGACCCTGGGACATTGCAATGGTCATAAATATGGACCAGTTGTCCAGCATCCAAATTTTGATCACGTGTCTATGGGAATGCTGCAATGGTTGTAAGTGCCAAAAATGGTCATAAGTCACTTTTTTCAGTGCCATTGTAACTTCGAACAGTCAGTAAATGAACTGTCATAAGTCTACCTGTAGTAATTTTCTTTGCCACCTTCAGTGACAGGGCATAATATGGGTACACCAGATTCAATGGTAATTTTTCATTATAATGATTATATTTGCTCCTTTTAATTTATGTTTGGGTATAGCTAAATGTCTATGGAGATTCTCAGTCATCCAGGTCATAGTTATCCCAAAGATGCTTTCTCATAAGGCAACTGGACTCTCTTGTTTTTCTTTGAAGATGTTTCGCTTCTCGTCCAAGAATTTTCTTCATCTTCAGAGCTGAAGAAACTTCTTGGATGAGAAGCGAAACGTCCAGTTGCCTCGTGAGAAAGCATCTTTGGGTTATGTTTGGGTAGTTAGCTAATTGGATTGATTATAGAAAAAGAGGATGCAAGAGCCTAAATCAATCAATAAAACAAGTGGTCCCCACTTCCAGATTGTTCCATCTCCACCTGTTCCACAAACAACCCAAGGGTTTATCGGCTGGAGGTCTTCAGTTCCAGGCTTAGAACTTGAGCGTTATTATCAGATCAGAAGCTGCAAAGGTGCCTTTTACAAGGACTTGAAATGGCCAAATGAACCAACCGACTGACTTCAACCAGTATGTAGGCCGACTTTGGTTTCTTTTGCTTCCTTTCCTAATTATCTTTCAGCCATTTCTTGCTAGGGAGTCACCTTACTATTAGTAACCTGTTTGTGCATTATCCTTGCAATGCTTGAGGCTAAAATTAATTATGGTACATTAAGCATAGCCTACTAACAGCAGTATTAAACACCAATTCTGTGCAATGTCTTATTTTACCTTACTGTTTTGTAACTGGAGCGGTCCTCTTATTTCGTAACAATTTGGGGGCCCACAAGATTTTTAGCAGAATGAAGCAAAGGAAACAATGCTTGGGATGCTCATTGAGAGCCACATGACCTTCAAACCTGGCTCACCCCCCCCCCTCCCCAAATTCTCTTTAAGTATAATTGACATGACTCCGGCCATTTTGAGGTGGAACACATACCACACTAGTACTATAAGACCCAAATAAAATTAATGTAATTTAAAAAATAAACACCTGCTCCGAAACAAGGACAAATCCTAGACTTTCCATGGATGCAATATGATTCCATCCACTTTACAGCAATCCTACACTCTCTTGACATCTGCAAAAATGGCTAAGAACAGACATCAAAAAGTTGTCTACTTCTACACTAAAATGTAATGTGGTTTGCTGGTTTATGTATACAGTATTATCTATAAATGGTGATTTAAGTCTAGGTTGTGTGAGCTCAGTCAAGTATGATTTATTCAATAAATAAATCTTCACAAACCTTTCAACAGAGAAGATGGTGGGAAGAGGGATAATGCAATCAGATCTGGGCTACCAAACCCCAAGCATCTACTCAATGGAATCAAAAAGATACAGACAATTACCACAAGTTTATTAATTATTTCAGGGACAATTTATATTTTGTACACCAAATGTGTAGTTTCTGTTCTTGTTCATGGCTGTGTTCATACAACAAAGATGATTAGGGGACTGGAGGCTAAAACATATAAGGAACCGTTGCTGGAATTGGGTATGTCTAGTTTAACGAAGAGAAGGACGAGGGGGACATGATAGCAGTGTTACAATATCTCAGGGGCTGCCACAAAGAAGAGGGAGTCAAGCTATTTTCCAAAGCGCCTGAAGGCAAGACAAGAAGCAATGGGTGGAAACTAACCAAAGAGAGAAGCAACCTAGAACTAAGGAGAAACTTCCTGACAGTTAGAACAATTAACCAGTGGAACAACCTGCCTCCAGAAGTGGTGAATGCTCCAACACTGGATGTTTTTAAGAAGCAACTGGACAGCCATTTGTCCAAAATGGTGTAGAGTTTCCTGCCTGAGCAGGGGGTTGGACTAAATGACCTCCAAGGTCCCTTCCAACTTTTTTTTATTATTATTATTATTATTATTATTATTATTATTATTATTATTAACCTGACTTTGTATTAATCCACTTAAATAAATTGAATCACAACCATACTGATTTGCACAACACGGAGAGCCACAAAATTCTAAACAAGGTTAATACCTAGCAAGCTTAGGAGGTAATATGAATGCAATAACTGAATTGGCTAATTGTATAAACCCCTCTAGTGTCTAATACGGCATCATCTAATTTTGCTGGTGATCTTTTGAGTCCTGATTAGATTCAGCTTTACTCAAACCCTTGAGATTTGGTAAAATTGGTTAATTTTTGTCATCTAATGTGCACATGAACCGTGGGAAAAATAAGAAAGAAAATGGATAGCTGTTAATAGAAGTGAGAAAGAGGTGGGCCAACCAAGAGCAGCTTGATCAAGTATAGCACAAACAACAAGTAAAGAATTTAAAATGCAATACTGTATACCAAAATTCAGCAAACAGAGAGTTAAATGCCCGTTCTCTAAATTCTCAGTTGGTGACATACATAACTAAGATGGGACTCAACAGATATCCAAGAGAGATATGAAGTAGGTCAATGAAATTAAGCCTTTAAACTTAGGTAAATGAAAAACATTGTGATAAACGGCAGTGTTGGCTGGGCTTGCCAATCTCAAAAGCTGAGTAGATTAGGTTAATCAAAAAGGACAAGAAAATTCCAGAGCCATGGGCTAGGCCAGCGGTTCTCAACCTGTGGGTCAGGACCCCATTTGGGGTCGAACGACCATTTCACGGGGGTCACCAAACAACGCAGTCCGCCATTTTTTCCCCTTTTCCTTAGCTGTGCTACTCCCTTTTATTCTATTGGCTTTTGAAAGCCAATAGAGTAGACTCTCTTGAATAGAGTCTAATTCTATTGGCTTTCCAAAGCCAATAGGAATTGTCCAGGCTGTCTCTGCCCTGCTGAGCCCGCCAAAAGTCCCATTCTGCAAACGGTGCTGCAAGTTGTCTGCAGCGAAGGTGAGCTGTCTGGAAGTTTCCACCCCTCCCTGCTGAGCAACTACTAAAAATGTAAGTAAAAGAGGGCCAGGAGGTGCGCTGGTGCGCGTGGGGCCCGGCACGTGCCTTACCTCCCTTGGGCTGGGCCAGCTTGTGGCCCAGCTGGTGGTCGGCCTGCTCCGTCTCTGCCACTTGCCAGCTATGCCTCGGCCGGCGCAGGGGGCGGCACCACGCATGCGCAGTGCTCCCGGGCAGGGAAAGTCCTCGACTTACGACTGGTTGGGTAGTCCTCGATTTACGACCGGTTGGGGTCGCGGCATTAAAAAGGTTGAGAACCACTGGGCTAGGCTGAGAAGTTGAAAAAGAAGCCAGTCGAAGTCAGCGGCGCCACTTCCATATTGCTACAAGAATGTGTCCAGGAAGTCACTAGGAGTTGATCATCTCTAGAGGAGTTTTTTCATGGGGAGAATTCCTTAGAGAGCATAAGAATGCTCACTTACCACTGACTTTTCCAGAGCTCAACTTTTAGAAAGATGATAGACTAGTAATACGTTTTTATCCAATGTTCATGGGTTGCAACAGAGATTTGTGTGGTAAAACTTTGACCAGCCCTATCTCCACATTCCTGAGGTTAAATGTGGCTTGAAGAAAGCTTTTGGAATTACAATTGAGGAAAATAACTTTAAGTGAAAAAGAGAAGTGAAAAATAAGGTTTTACAGAATTACAAATAAAATGCTTTTCTATGTAGGTTTTTGAATGCCTTTCCCAAGCACAATAATGTTTTTCAGGTTCAGATCTGGAAATGAATCGTCTTTGACTTGAATAACATATAACAATGAAACACGATGTTAAGACTAAAAATATTGCATGTCCATGCATTTTTTTAAAAAAAAACATCAGACTTTGGACAATAATGCAGGAAGATTTGCTGCTAAGTAGCGTGCACTACAAACAGTTAATCAGAGCCCAAACATATATAATTAACAGTGTCTTTTAGTGATAATATGAGCTTTGCATAATATTGATTTCCCCCACATGCAATAACCTACCAATATATTGCACACCATTTTTTCCATATACATGCATGCATTCAGTACAAAACTAATTGGATTTCACCTCAAAGATCATTAAAACATTTCTCCTTGCAAAAGTTTGACAGGGAGTTTCAAGCAAAGAAGGACTTTCACTGTTTGAGTTCCACAAAGGATTATCTCTGATATCGATCTCACTGAGTCTAGACCAGGAGTGTCCAACCTTGGAACTTTAAGATTTATGGACTTCAACTCCCAGAATTCCCCAACCAACATGGCTGGTTGGGGAATTCTGGGAGTTGAAGTCCACAGGATTTTCACCTTTTGAGTTCCACAAAGGACTTATCTATCATATCCAGGGCTTTTTTTTTTTTTTTTGTCATAGAACGCCGAGAACGGAGTTCCGGCACCTTTTTTGGATGGAACCTTGTAGGGTAGGCAAGGCGGGCTGTATGACATGTGTGAGTTCTGGCACCTTTTTTTTTTTTTTTTTTTACAAAAAAAGCACTGATCATATCTATCTCACTAAGTCTAGACCAGAAGTGTCTAGCCTTGGAACTTCAAGGCTTGTGGACTTTAACTCCCAGAATTCTCCAATCAACATGACTTAAAATTACCAAGGGTGGACACTCCTAGTCTCAAAAATATAAGCACTTGTAATGAAACTCAGCAGGACTTTTTCGTGCGGCTGCTGATAAAAACAGGATCGCCAACTTGATTGCCAACGTCCGATAACGGATATGGCACAAGAAGAAGAAGAAGAAGAATGAAATGTGGGAATCAACTCGGAGGAAAAGGGGAAGACATGAAAAGAGATCTAGGAAACTCCTACCTAAGTTTCTTCCTCTGCGTAGGAAACAGACAAGAGAGGCAGGAGACCCCAGTCACTCAACAGGCAAAGGAAGAAACTTAGGAAGGATTCACCCTTATGGATCAAGCCGTTAAAAATGATGGTGGGAAGTCTGTACTTTCAGACTTGTAACATTCTGTTAATATAATCTTACTATATAGAAAAACATTCCTCTAGTTGGGTTTCCTGCCTGGTTTATCCAGAAGGGCTGTCAGCACCCAAACCTTTCACAGCTGATAATTACATTTAAAACCATAAGGAGAGCCTATTATAGCTGGGAACTTAAAGAAGTCTGTAGGAACTCGGACATTCTTTTAAGCTGGTCCACAGGGTACTTAAGACTGGGCTGCAAATAATTTAAGAAGTGGAGGATTTTCTGCAGTTTTAAATGTTTACTTTTTGTCCATTGTCCATTGCTTGCTCTCTCCTTTTGTCCATTTTCAGAAGTCAATAATTTTCAAATACATTTCTTCACTAACCAGATCTCTCTAACGTGGTCCTCCCTATGGATATTCTTTTTTTTTAATAGAATAACAACAGTAACAGTCACCTTCAAATGCAGTTACAAATTAGTGATAAAAAGGTCTGGCTAGTGAATTGCAAACAGGCAGCATCCAAGTATTTAATCACTCCAGCTATGAAACCTGGCATTTAATCTATGGAAATTAACCTCCTTATTGGAATCCAACTGGGTACATAAATGTCACCAGTGCTTTAAAAGGCCACACAATTGCCAAGGTCACAACAGTGTAAGTAAATCTGAGGTATTATCTTAGGCATAAGCATCAAGACCAATTCCCATGTGATTTTTTGTTCTTGTCCT